CTCCCAGCTGGTCCCTTCTCTCCCCTCCCCCCTCCCCCTGGATTAAATGTGTTCAGTATTTTTTCTGAAGCTACCTGGTAACCCTAGCGCTAGGCGCTTCAGAGGGAACAAACAGAAAGGGCAGTCATCAAGTGAGCCATCCCTGGCAATCATCAAGTCCTGTCTGCGCTAGAATTTGGATCATGTAAATATTAAACTGTGCCTAAAAATTCAAGCTTAGACATGCCCTCCAGGGTCAAATTCCCCCCGGGAAGAGCCCAGCATATGGCTTGTGAGCCACTGGAAGGCCACGAATGTTTTCCAATGCGCCTTGTATTTGTGGCAGGGAGGCTGACAGAATTGCTGGGCCCCTAGGCAAGATGCGGGGGACAGCGGGGGGCCCCATGATCCTGTAAGCGGCGGGGCCTCTGTTGGAAGGGGCTGGGCTGGGGCTCCACCATCCCCACTGCTGCCACAACAGTGGCTGGGAGTCCCAGGACCTTAATCACCAGGCCCTAGGAGAGTTGCCTCCTTCCTCACTCTCCCTCCTCCCCGCCATTGGCCGGCCAGACTTCCCGCTGTGCTGTATGCTCTCCCTCTGCAAATGCATGTCACCCTTCATGCACTTCTGGTAAGAAGGAAAACCTGGAGCAGATTTCTGTACCCAGGTGAAGCCGGTGGTGGGTACATCCTTAGAGGACATGGGAGGTGTAAGGGCTGGGGATAGACGTGAGTTATTTTACCCTGTATTGCCTGTGGGCTTTTCTTTGTTCTGCCCAGGGAGTACGAACGAACGTATGTCAACAAGAGCTGGATCCCCATCAGCGAGTGTTCGCTTATCATGGTGACACAGTGCAACGTGACAGACGACATTTCTGCCAATGTGCCCTATAACCTGCGTGTGAGGGCAAAGCTCGGGTCTCAGGGTTCAAAGTGGAGCGCCCTCGATGAGCTCTTCGATCGCAAAATGAGTAAGCTCTCTGCCCCTGGGGATAAGTGATGTGAAAGGTGTTCATTTTTTAAAAACATTGTTTTCATTGGTGTTGAAACAGGAAATCAATTCACACGGTGAGTACAGAGAGGGAATAATGAATTGCAGCTCTGTGGGTAAATTGTGTATTCATATCTCATTGATACATAAAATAGATACTTTTTATTTACTAGTGATCACTTGGAATTCTTAAAATCAGAACATATTGATAAATGTTATTTTAAAATTAAATTCCTTAGCAAAAGTAATAAAAAATGTAGACTCGTAGAAATGTAGGACTGGATGGAACCTCGATAGGTCATCTTGTCCTGTTCCCTGCACTAAGGCAGGACTACATGTTATCTGGATCATCATCTGGATCATCTCCGACAAGTGATTGTCAAACCTGTTCTCAAAAACCTCCAGTGACAGAGATAACATAAGAACAGAAGAATGGCCAAACTGGGTCAGACCAAAGGTCCATCTAGCCCAGTATCCTGTCTGCTGACCATGGCCAATGCCAGGTGCTCCAGAGGGAGGGAACGCAACAGGTAATCATCTCGTGATCCCTCTCCTGTCATCCATTTCCAGACAGAGGCTAGAGACACCATTCCTACCCAGCCTGGCTTGTGTAGAGAGGCTGCCGGAAAGTAGTCAATCAGAGCCCATCAGGCTAAGTTAAAAGGAGCTGCAGGGTCTGAGTAGAGCAGTTGCTGCTGGGGACCAGAAGGGCGAAGGAGAAATAGTGGAAGGCTGTGAGACCCCACAGGTAAAGAAACTGGAGAGAAACCCTGATCCAGCAGGGACAGGACTGGAAAGCTCTCCAGGAACAGAGGCTTGGGCCAAAGAACCTTGACAAAAAGGGGGCAGAGACCATTACAAGTTCTCCAGGCAAAGAGGCTTGAGAGAAGACTCTGAGAAGCCAGGACAGATACTGAGAAACTGTCTAGGCAAAGAGGCCTGGCAGAGACCCTGCTCAAACAGGGAACAGACAGAGAACCCAAGAAGGTGGTGGGATAGCGTGGGAAGCAGCCCAGGGAATATGGCAGTAGCAATCAGTAAAGAAAACAGCATGTGGGCTGCTACTTCTAGGGTCCCTGGTTTGGAAACCAGAGTAATGGGTGGGACCAACACTTCCCATGGGTGAAGCGTCCAAAGCCCTGACCAAGGATGGAGCTGAAGACCCTGGAGCAGACCAACCATTTGTAAGCCTGAGGTCTGGAGTGACATAGCCCACGTGTGGCATAGCAGGAGGACTGCACCGTGGAGGGTTACAGCCAACAGGCGGTGCTCACGCGAGGTGAATGGCCCTTGTCACAGTGTAGTTTTTTATATTTGTCTTTATTGAATTCCATCCTATATATCAGAAATGGCTAGGGGTGCTCCAGGGCTCAACCTGGACCAAGTCACACCAGGTCTAGGTCACACGCATTTGTGGCAACAACTTGTTCCTCAGAGTCTCATCTTTCATTGTAAAGAAAAGAGGGTCTCCAGCTCTTTTGGTTGTGGTGAACTCCTTGCACGTGGGATCTGATTGCACCCTGTGCACATTGCTAAGTCTGAACACCGCTGTGCTGTCTGCTCAGTGTGGGGGAGAATGAACGCCAGCAAGTGCCTTTCTCTACAGGAATTTGGCTAGAGGCATGTTCTCCGGCCTCTTGTGGGGAAGGCATGTTGGCCCAGATTCTCAGCTATGGCCAAAGAACACAGGCTGCAAGTTGCAGGGAATGTATGTGTGCAAAGGTGACTCAAAGGTCCTTTCCACATTGCCCTGGTCCTGCACTTAGCTGCCTCGCTCTAACTTAAATATGAGTATGTTTCAGTAGTTCAGTGGTCCCCAACGCGGTGCCTGTGGGTGCCATGGCGCCCGCCAGGGCATTTATGTGCGCCCGTCTAGTGACCAGGGCCAGCTCGAGCCATTCTTGCGCCCTGGGCGCTCAGCACATGCGCAGCCCCCGCCCCGGACACCCAGCAGCCCCAAAAGGCTAGGGACCACTGAGTAGTTAGTAGTTGGGTGTCCAAACTTTGCTCCTATAACATTGCAAAAATGGAAGGCTTAATTCCAGAACTGTACCAAGCCTTGACTATCATACTAGCCATGAAACAAGAGTCCTTTACAGCAGCGTTACACACTAAACTGCAAGAAAAAAAAATCACATCTAAGATAAAAGTCATATGCAGGAAACAGACTGCCTGGTTTCTATCCACAAGCCCCACTGTTCTCAACAGCAGCTGCAAGGTTCAGCACTTTGGAAAATCAGGCCAATAGAAAATATCAGAGAGAGGAGTTTCAAAGAGTGTGTTCTGGACCTTGGGACACAGTTAGCATTTCTTGCATGGAAGTATCATGGAATCATAGAATACTAGAAATGGAAGGGACCTCGAGAGGTCATTGAGTCCAGTCCCCTGTCTTCACAGCAGGCCCAGCTACCATCTAGATCATTCCTGATAGATGTCTGTCTAACCTGCTCTTAAATATCTCCAGTGATGGAGATTCCACACCCTACCTAGGCAATTTATTCCAGAGTTTAACCACCGTAACAGGAAGTTTCTCCTAATGTCTGACCTGAACCTCCCTCGCTGCAATTTAAGCCCATTGCTTCTTGTCCTGTCCTTGGAGGTCAATGAGAACAATTTTTCTCCCTCCTCCTTGTAACACCCTTTTAGGTAGTTGAAAATCGCCTACAAAGACCTTTTACATCTGCACTTGAAAGGGAATCCTCTGAACTGTCATTCATGTTAAAATTCGACACTTACCACCAGGGACTTAACAAGTCTTTGAACTTTCTCACCCATTATCAAGACAGTTTCCCCAATTATCACCTGTAATACCATTAACTCACAAACATCCCACTCTCCCTACCTCTAATATCATCAATTCACAGACACTTACCTTCCTTCCTCCCCCTTCCCACCCCCCCGCATCCTCCTTCTGTTCTGCAATGTGATTTGTCCTTTTCATATTTGTTCATTTTTTTTAATTGTATCCTTTGGTATATATGGTTGTGACTACTTTCTTCCACTATTTGATCTGAGGAAGTGGGTCTGGCCCACGAAAGCTCATCATCTAATAAACCATCTTGTTAGTCTTTAAAGTGCTACATTGTCCTGCATTTTGCCTCATAGCTCATGTTTTCCAGATCTTCTCTGGACCGGTCTGGTCTGGTTTCTCAGCACCCTCTGCCCTAGCTAGTTTTGCAGTTATTGCCTGCATGGGGCCTTCAAACAAAACAGTTGCTCCCCCCCTCTTCCCAGAAAACACTTCAGGTTTGGACAACTCAGCTATTGCTAAATGCCTTCACCTGATGCTAGGATAAAACCCACCCTTGCCCTGGGGCCCACTACTATCTCTAGAGACAAAGCAGGGTAGAGAGGGAGGAAGATCAAGGGAAAGCACCTCAGTGAAGCAATTGGCTGCTAATGCTGAGCGGTGACAGCTGAAGAGGAGTTGCCAAAGGGAGCGTTTCTTGCCTCTCCCCCACTCTGGGCTCGTTGGTGATGGTAATAGTGCGTTTCTGTGTTGACAGCTCTCCTCACGCCACCCTTGATGAGAGTCTTTGCAGACGGGTATCACTTGTTGGTGGAGCTGGAAGACCTGGGTCCAGCCTTTCAATTCCACGTCGTCTATTGGAGGAAGGGCCGGGAAAGTTGGGTGAGTTTTGCCCTGGCTCTCAGAAGAGAACGGAGAGTGCTGCATGGCTTGGAAGGAACGCGCGTGGAATATGTTCCCTCCTCCCTCTCTGATCCCACGCTAAAGCATGTAGCAGCTATGATCACGAACTGATGTGCAAGGCCGGCAGGCAGAACCGACCCTGGGACCTCTGGAGCTTAGTGCCTGAGCCTCTACTGCTTGGAGCAAAAAGCCAGCTAAGGCTTGGGAGAAAACTCATTCGCCCTCTTTGTACGTGGTCTAAGTGCCACCACATGGGACAGTGAACCACACCCAGTAGGTGTGTGGGTTACATGTTTGGTTATGCAGACCTGCTGATGCGGCGGGAGGGGGGCAAAGGGGGAAGCTGCCTTGGGGCCTGCCTGTTTAAAAGGGCTTGGTTGTCGTCACAACAGTGGCAGCGGTCAGAGCCCTGGGCCCTTTAAATCATTGCTGGAGCCCTGGGCAGCATGCACCAGGCAGCACTGAAGAGCTAACTGGGGAACCTAGCCCCAGCCCTGCCCCCTCCCTGCCTTAGCTGGCTTTTCTCTCCTAGGGCCCAGAGAAGTCTGTCAGCTGCCCTGCAGTTATGTAACTGGAGAGGAAGTCCCTGTCCCAGGCAGCTGCCATTTTGTGCTTCATTTCTCATGTAGGAAGTCACAGAGCAGGTCTCTAACACTTTTATAGAGACTTGTTCATTCCATGTTTAAGTTTTTATTTGTAAGGTACAAGTCATCAGGACCAAGAAACATTCTCTTTGCTCTGTGTGTGTGTGTGTGTTTGTGAGAGAGAGAGAGAACGAGAATGAGAACGAGAACGAGAACGAGAACGAACACACACACACATTGCACCATTACAATTAAAATAGTGACAGAGTCAAGATGTCTGCCATACGGGTAGGTCTGACTGACCTGCCCGTGCCCTAGGCAGGCTGTGGTTTGTAGATTCTCAGGCCAGGAAGTCTTTGCTTTCATCTAGTCTGATCTGCATGGCACAGACCAGAGAACTGGCCCAACATCATTCCGAGAGCAGATCTTTTAAAAAAAAACCCCATCTAAACCTGATTTCAATTTCAGTGATGGAGAATCCACCAAGACTCTTAGTAAGTTGTTCCAATAGTTAATGATCCTCAAAAATTTCCATCTTTTTTCCCCAGACTGAATTTGTCTAGCTTCAACTTCCCCCAGCCATTGAATTGTATTTTTCTTTGCTAGACTGAAGGGCCCATTATTAAATATTTGTTCCCCAAGTAGATACTTAAACTCTAATCATGTCACTCCTTAATCTTTTCTTGGTTAAGATCAATAGATTGAGCTGCTTGAGTCTGTCATTAGAAGGCATTTTTTCCCTAATCTTCTGATCATTCTCTTGGCTCTTTTCTGAACCCTCTTCAATTTACCACCATCCTTCTTGAATTGTGGATGCCAGAGCTGGAGGTAGCTTTCCTGTAGCAGTCACACCTGAACCAAACACAGAAGTAAAATATCCTTTCTGCTCCTATTCCAGATTCCTGTTCATGCATCTCAGGATTGCATTAGCTCTTTTGTCCGCAGTCTCAATGGGTGCTCATATTCAGCTGATTACCCAAAGTCACCCTCAAATCTTTTTCAGAATCCCTGCTTTCCAGGGTAAAGGCCCCCCCCCCATATGTACATATTCCGTATATATGGCCTACATTATTTGTTCCTAGATGTATCCATTTGCACCTCTTCAAATATATAGTGTTTGTTCGCATCCAGTTTACCAAGGAATTTGGAGTGCTCTGAATCAATGACCTGTCCTCTTCATTATTAAGCACTCTGTGAATCTGTCTCATCTGTAAGCTTCTCCAGTGATGATTTTGTTTTCTCCCAGGACTCTGATAAAAGTGTTGGCTAGTGGAGGCCAAGGAGTGATCCCTGCAGATCCCTACTGGAAACATTCCCCCTCCCCTTAGACTCAGACTTTGAGGCCAGAAGGAACCATCACAATCTAGTGTGACCTCCTGAAGGCTCACTCACTCCCGTGATAAATTCCTAACCTCTGGGGGTATGTCTACACAGCAGCGTTATTTCGGAATAACTGACATTATTCTGAAATAATAGTGCGCGTCTTTATTTTGAAATAATGGAGAGCTGGAGGACTTCTCACTTTGACTCCTGAAACCCTCATTTCACGAGGAGTAAGGGAAGTCGGAGGAAGAGTGTTCTTCCTGCTGTGTAGATAGCTCCAAAAGCCGAATTAAGCTATTTTGACTTAAGCTATGCAATTGACATAGTTGAAGTTGTGCCGATTAATTCAACTTTGGCCCTGCTGTGTAGACGTGCCCTGGCTGAGCTACTAAAGTCATAGAATCATAGAATACTAGGACTGGAAGGGACCTTGAGAGGTCATCGAGTCCAGTCCCCTGCCCTCATGGCAGGACCAAATACTGTCTAGACCAGTGGTCTCCAACCTTTTTACACCCAAGATCACTTTTTAAATGACAGACCAAGCCAAGATCTACTGCCCCGCCCCTTCCTTGAAGCCCTGCCCTCTCTCTTCTCCTCCTCTCCATCACTTGCTATCCCCAATCCTTATACTGCTACTTTAAAAAAAAATCCCACCATTCCTCGCAGCTACTCACCTATGCTGTTGCTCTGTGAGTAATTGCTCCTCAAATGAGGAAATCTAATGTAAATGTACTGCGCAGGTGCGCAGTTCAAAGAGGGCTCAAAAGCTACTCTTAGAGCCTCTGAGATCTACTGGTAGATCGCGATCTACTGGTTGGTGACCACGGGTCTAGACCATCCCTGATAGACATTTATCTAACCTACTCTTATTTATCTCCAGAGATGGGGATTCCACAACCTCCCTGGGCAATTTATTCCAGTGTTTGACCAACCTGACAGTTAGGAACTTTTTCCTAATGTCCAACCTAAACCTCCCTTGCTGCAGTTTAAGCCCATTGCTTCTTGTTCTATCCTCAGAGGCCAAGATGAACAAGTTTTCTCCCTCCTCCTTATGACACCCTTTTAGATATCTGAAAACTGCTATCATGTCCCCCCTCAATCTTCTCTTTTCTAAACTAAACAAACCCAATTCCTTCAGCCTTCCCTCATAGGTCATGTTCTCTAGACCTTTAATCATTCTCGTTGCTCTTCTCTGGACCCTTTCCAATTTTTCCACATCTTTCTTGAAATGAGGTGCCCAGAACTGGACACAATACTCCAATTGAGACCTAACCAGCGCAGAGTAGAGCGGAAGAATGACTCCTCGTGTCTTGCTCACAACACACCTGTTAAAATACATCCCAGAATCATATTTGCTTTCTTTGCAACAGCATCACACTGCTGACTCATATTTAACTTGTGGTCTACTATAACCCCTAGATCCCTTTCTGCTGTACTCCTTCCCAGACTGTCGCTTCCCATTCTGTATGTGTGAAACTGATTGTTCCTTCCTAAGTGGAGCACTTTGCATTTGTCTTTATTAAACTTCATCCTATTTACCTCAGACCATTTCTCCAATTTGTCCAGGTCATTTTGAATTATGACCCTATCCTCCAGATTAGTCGCAATCCCTCCCAGCTTGGTATCATCTGCAAACTTAATAAGCGTACTTTCTATACCAATATCTAAATCGTTGATGAAGATATTGAACAGAGCCGGTCCCAAAACAGACCCCTGCGGAACCCCACTTGTTATGCCTCAAATCATGGTTTAAAGACTTCAAGTTACTGAGAATCCACTTTTTATTCTAATTTAAACTAGCAAGTGCCCCAGGCTCCGTGGTGCAGAAGGCAAAAAACCCAGAGGGGCTCTGTCAGTCTGACCTGGGGAAAATTCCTTCATGATCAGCTACACAGAGCATGTGAGCCAGACACACACCTGCTAAAGAATTCCCTGTAGTAACTCAGAACCCTCCTCCTTCCATCTCTAGCCACTAGAGATATCTGCTAACAGCTGTTGCAGATGGGTCATATGCCATTGTAGGCAACCTCATCATACCATCCCCTCTATAAACGTCACAAACTTAAAACAAGTTAGGATTTTTGCCCCCACTGCTCCCTATGGAAGACTGGTCTAGAATTTCACTCCTCTGATGACTAGAAACCTTCATTTAACTTCAAGTCTAAACTTATTGATGGCCAATTCATATCCATTTGTTCTTGTGCCGGCATTGGCCCTTAAGTTAAATAACTCCTCCCTCTGTTCTGTTTATAGAGACCACTCATAACTCCCTTCAGCCTTTGTTTGGTAAAGATCTTGACTGATTTAACCTACAGTTTCCTCTTGTGAGGCAGGTTCTCCATTCCTCTAAATTTCATTTCCGCAAATTTGCGGAAATGAAATTTAGAGGAATGGAGAACCTGCCTCACAAGAGGAAACTGTAGGTTAAATCAGTCAAGATCTTTACCAAACAAAGGCTGAAGGGAGTTATGAGTGGTCTCTATAAACAGAACAGAGGGAGGAGTTATTTAACTTAAGGGCCAATGCCGGCACAAGAACAAATGGATATGAATTGGCCATCAATAAGTTTAGACTTGAAGTTAAATGAAGGTTTCTAGTCATCAGAGGAGTGAAATTCTAGACCAGTCTTCCATAGGGAGCAGTGGGGGCAAAAATCCTAACTTGTTTTAAGTTTGTGACGTTTATAGAGGGGATGGTATGATGAGGTTGCCTACAATGGCATATGACCCATCTGCAACAGCTGTTAGCAGATATCTCTAGTGGCTAGAGATGGAAGGAGGAGGGTTCTGAGTTACTACAGGGAATTCTTTAGCAGGTGTGTGTCTGGCTCACATGCTCTGTGTAGCTGATCATGAAGGAATTTTCCCCAGGTCAGACTGACAGAGCCCCTCTGGGTTTTTTGCCTTCTGCACCACGGAGCCTGGGGCACTTGCTAGTTTAAATTAGAATAAAAAGTGGATTCTCAGTAACTTGAAGTCTTTAAACCATGATTTGAGGCATAACAAGTGGGGTTCCGCAGGGGTCTGTTTTGGGACCGGCTCTGTTCAATATCTTCATCAACGATTTAGATATTGGTATAGAAAGTACGCTTATTAAGTTTGCAGATGATACCAAGCTGGGAGGGATTGCGACTAATCTGGAGGATAGGGTCATAATTCAAAATGACCTGGACAAATTGGAGAAATGGTCTGGATGGCAGGAGACAAATCGCTTGATCATTGTCTTCGGTCCATCCTCTCTGGGGCATCTGGTGCTGGCCACTGTTGGCAGACAGGCTACTGGGCTAGATGGACCTTTGGTCTGACCCAGTACGGCCGTTCTTATGTTCTTACGTTCTTATGTTATGTTCTTCTCTGATCATTCGAATAACCCTTCTTTGAACCTCTTCCAGTCTGAATTCATCTTTCTGAAACATGGCAGGTCAAAACTGCTCACGGTCTTCCAGATGAGGTTTCACCTGGGCCTTGTATTATGACAGTAACACTTCCCTATTCCTTCCCAACCTTCTGATACTACACCCCCTTGATTCATCTCCTTTGCACGGAATGACGCAGCGGTCCTTTGGAAAAAATACTAATACAGTCACTCAGTGAGGACTGTGGCCTTGTCTACACAGCAAAGCTATACCTATTTAACTACACCTGGTGTTCTAAATGGATTTAATCTCTTGCAAGCCTATGTGCGGATCAATTGACATCGGTTTAAATCAGACTGATTTCAGGTTAGCTTAAATTGATTAGCAGCCATTAAGCTGAGCCAAATGTGCGTGATTGACACAGGAAAAAGAGCAACCACACAGGAATCTGAACCGGTCGAACTGTGTTGATTTTAAAAGCCGGATCAAGTTAAACCAAAGCAACTTTCTCATGTAAATAAAACGTGTTCACACAAGTGGGCAGGACTGAGCCGGCATGAGCAACTCTAGGTCTGGCATTTGCTGACATCTGCCTTTGCACCCTGGACCTTCTTTCCACACAAATGTTTTGTAATGTTTAATTTCCTAGGTATAAAAAACAATGTTCAACTATAACACTGTCCCTTCCTGCCTAAATGCAACACACTTTTAGCTGCCACTTGAGCTGGAGGATTACTTACATTAACAGGTAGCGGGGAAGCCTGATATCTGCTTTGGACCAGCCGCTAGAGGATGATATCACACCTGCAGGAACGCCCCGTTTTACAAACAGAATATCCAAACACATAACCGGGCATACTCATTCTGAGACAGCAAAGCTAAATGGCTGAGTTGTAACCCTGGATCCTGTTCACAGTTCAACCAAAAGCTAGCTTGTGCCCTAAGTCAATTCGTGCTTTGCTAAAATGAGTGGAGCTGAATATTTGCCTTCCTCTTGGAACAGGAATATGTGAGGACTTATGATGTGGGCTGTATATTACAGAGAAGTGTTATTGCTAGTTAGTAGAGGAGACGAGACTAGATCACAGGGTGTCCTGGCTCCCAGCCGTGGGCAGCTAGTGAAAGCAGGCTCCAGGTCCGCCCCTTCTGCCCAAGGCCCTGCCCCTGAAGCCAAGTCCTGCCCATCTCCAGCCTGTTCCTTCCTGGCCACCTGGAGGCCCAGGGTTGCTGTGCTGCGGCCCCAGCCAGCCCTCTCCGGTGGCCAGGGAGCAGGGCTGCCATGCCACTGCTCCATCCCTCCCTGGCAGCCGGGCATGTAGGCAGTTTGGGGAAGGCAGTGCCCTTCCCTTGCCTACATTACCGGCTGCCCATGCTCCCAGCCCAAAATACCTCCTGGAGAAGGGTATTGGATGGGGAGGAGGTTCTGATTTTCTTGTGTCCTGTTTGTAATTCTGTGCAGACGCTCTGTGTGTGGCAGAGGGGGCTCAGCAGGCTCAATTGCATCTGGAGTTTTCACAGAATTAAAAGCAACTAGCAAAATGTATGGTTGTCCGGCGTTCTGTACTGGCTGGTGCACGCACGGGATAGCCTAGTATTGCTGTTAGTTAGTAGAGTCCCTCTTGAAGCGTAAGTGACAGAACCGCGTTTGGCGGGTTCACACACCCATTCAGTGGTTCGTTACAGTTCCAAGGAGGGGGATTCCTTAGTTCTTTATAAAACCAGCAACCTAGCAATGAATTTCGGTGGCAAACTAGAATGTTCAGCGTCCTCCTCGGCCTGTCGGGGGCAAGAGGCATGATGAATGTGTGACAAACGCCTGGACCGAGGGGACAGCCACGTGAAAATGGAACGCTGCAGGCGCCTCCCCTCAGTGCAAACAACTCTCCCATCCACTTTGACCTCAGTGTTTCAAGTCTGCATCTCGGATGTACATAAAGTAAAGGGATCCCCAAGCTACATGGCATGGAGGGGATTTTGGTCCAGAGAGGGGGGCAGAATAGCGGTGTGTCCGTCACTGCATTCTTGTCCTTGGAGTCCATCCCGGCCCTCACTCACTCCTCTCACCCACCTGTTTCTCACATTGGCCCTATGTGTGTGCTTGTTCCCCTCACTCGCAGGCCCTGGTATGGGCTAGTGAGTTCTCTCTCACATTTAATGGATGAAGCATCCAAGTAGGAGCATGGGGGTCACAGAGTTCTTCCTGGCTTCCCCTGCACCCTGGGTCCCCTGCCTAGCACTGAAGGCCCAGCAGCCTCCCCTCCCCCTTCACAACCTCCTGACACAGGCAGTCGCTTTGCTCAGGCCTCTGGTTGCCCTTGGCTGATGGTGCTTTTCATTCCACCCCTTTCTACCCCAGTAGCTGTCTAGTCTCTGCCACACTGGTTTCCCTACTCACCTGCCCCTCCATTTTCCTTTCTCTTGGCCTCTCCGTTCCCCTCCCCTCTCCCCACTCCTCTCTGAGTCCACCAGGCCTTTCTCCTCAGAGCCAAAACTTGGGCCTGCATTGTCCACCAGCCCCCGGCTCTGCAGGGCCCTGGGCGCTGAGCTGCTTGTCATTGCCTCTGGCAGGTGCACAATAAGACCGTGAAGAAAATCAGCTCCGTGGTGCATCTGGACAGCATGGAGGCCGGCGCAGAGTACTGTGTGACAGCCCAGACCTATGTAGAGGCCATCAACAGGAGCAGTAACTTCAGCCAGATGCAGTGCGTTCACGGGCCAGGTGATGACGCCACTTCCTCACCAGCAGAAGTGCAGTGACTTTCCTGTGCAGTGTAGCCCCCATCTCTCCTCTTCGCTTCCGCCTGCTGCCTCCTGTCCTGTACGCAGCCTGCTACAATGATTTGTTCCCTCAAGGGAGAGAAGAATTTACCCCTTTTCCTACTGTCACCCTCTCCCTCATGCTGGCAGGGCAGAGTTTGATTCTTTTGGGCCTCCTGGCTGCCAGTGGGGTCAGGGAGAAGGACAGGCCCTGCATTTCTCTGGGATCAGGATGTGGAATTGCGTTGCTTTCTCTCAAAGACTCTTGACTGAAGTCCTCCTTCCGTCCTTTGTCTCTAGATGGCAGCAGATCCACCTGGATGACAACTACCATGATGTCTTTCGCTGGATTTCTTATAGGTGTCTTGGCCCTGCCTTTCCTTGCCTGCAAAATGA